GGTAAAGTGAGAGAAGGGCAGAGTATTCACATTCCTCCAGCTCACCGTAAAACCCTCGGCCATTCTATGCAGGTGACCTCTGCTTATATTTCAATTTCCGCTTACTGAATTAAACATTTAACCATTTAAAAGCACACACAATTGATGCAGGGGTGTGGGATGTACATTGGCATCATTCGAAATCCATTTTAAATGTAACGCTTGACCTGATAAACCAGGTCCGAGGCAAGTCACTCAGGACTAGGTCATTGGGGTTAGTGTGCTCCAGAGAGAGCTAAGGCCCGCAGTGTTTATGCGATAGGCAGCTTCAAGGTTAATAAATCGATAAATGATCAATGACGGTTTTTGGAGTAACGGGCGGACGCCCAAAAACTCCATTTAAATCGTGCTAGTCCCTAAACTTTAATTTTATTGTTTTATGCACAACACTGATTCAGCTAAGAGAACCTGACACAGAGTAGCCACAAACACCATGACTGACAGCCTTTTCAGCAAAATAGTCACTAGCATTAAGGATTAAAAAGAATTTAGAGCGCTTAATCTGTTTAAGCCCTTCCGAGGTAGAGTTTCACGGGGAGCGGTGGGAGTCAGCCCTAGAGTAACCCATTTCCAGAGGCCGGAACCGAAGAAGTCAATTTGGTAAAGCAAGTCACGAAGCCCACTAACTTCTAACTGCTACTTCCGAAAGAGTTATCTCTTACTTCTTCACAGCATTATCACATGGCTAGCACGCAGATGTGTAACGATACCCATGATGGTAAAGTCGCTTGATGATGTTTTCAATGGCAATATCCTCACCGTAAATGTCCCAAAATGAGCCACACTTCCATTGTCGAGGACGAGAACTCGATCACAGCTTGAAAGCCACTGATAGGTGTTGGTCACGAATATACGCGTGCAGTCCTTTAGAACGCCTTGCGGCCCGATGACGCGTTCAAACAGACGCTGTCCAACGTGGACGTCCACAGCGGCCAGTGGGTCGTCGAGAAGGTAGAGGTCGCGCTGCTGCAAAACCAGAAATAGCACTTAGAACAGAGGCATGTCTTCGATTTTAATGGCAGTAGAAATGGCTTCGAATCAAACTAGCAAGCTGACCGTAGAAAAGGCATCCTGAGCAGTTGGAGTTTTTGAGATCTCCTTAAGAATTGTAGATGATCGAAGAAAATTTTTATGACAGGGGATACATATTTGACTGATAGGAGACGTTGGTAAAATAATGCTTATTAAACTTTTGCCTCGTTTGGCGGGAGGTAATTTTATAGAAGTTTCTAACTTTTATTCATGCATATTACGACTTGTTTTTATTGTATTTTGTTAATTTAAATCAGTCAGATTAGCGTGCAACAATGGAGCAAAGGTGTTGTGATATCGTTTCTCGCCTCGGTGCCCGGATTCAATTATCCTACACCCATAAGCAATAAATTCGAGGGTATAGACTTAATCTATTGACTCTAGACAACACCCAAAAGGGCATACATATTCCATGTAACAACGAAGCCGACAAAGCATGCAGTGACCGTAAAGTAGTAGCTGTCTTTGCTGCTGGATCTGCATGTAGTGTTGTGAAAACAAAAGGCTACAGAATCCTGAAGATGGGCTTTTACCAACTGGTCGCCCGTAATCACTTGCTTCAACGTTGTTCTGCTCTCCCCTAATGCGATCACGTGCTGTTCTTGTTAACATCACAGCCCCGGCACAGGACGGTGAGGTATGCTAGAAATTATTTGTACTGTGCTACCGCACTACTCTTTCTCAGCCATCTTTGCCCTGTGGCCAACCAGCATCAGTGTGACCAGAAGAAGACTTAAGCGCAGGGAAGGCCAGTCGCACATTTCACGTCTACGGCTCCACCTGCGACCTAATCCTACAGTCATATGCCAGATGAACACACACACACCCTAGGGGTG